GGGGGGGGGCAGAGGGAAGCCAAGCAGATTCTGCTGTACCTGCAGTCTTTGCCAGAGCTCTGGCCAGGGAACAGGGGGGCAGGGCCAGCTCTGCTGCCTGGAGCAGAGAGCCCAGCCCAGAGAGCATGCTGGGATGCTGGGGGAGTCTGGTTTAACTTAAACCAGCAAAGGTTCATCTTAAGCCAGATGGTGCATCAGACCAGCATAGTTAATACACTTCAACTTCTGTAATCAGCAGTGTGCAAAGGAGTGATGAGGCTAGCATCACATTGAGCTATCTTTGACTTCTCCAGCCTGAAAGACCAAGTATCTAGTGATAGCTGCACTGACTAGGAGTAGTCCTTAATATGAGTCTGGAGTGAGTCTCATTAGAGAATGTCCAGAATTTGCACTTTTTCCAGCAGAGGTGGGATCTCATGGGGTAAACAACACTTCTCATGGGCTTCCATAGAACATTTCCATATTTTCAGCATTCAGCATACAGTTTGTCACTTTTGGAAAACAAATTCTTAATAAAATATGTGCATGTTCATGATTATAACCAAAAACTACATTAAATATACCTTAGTTCTACGATTACTTGTGCTGCGACAGTTGTTCGTTGCTCCAAAACAAAAGCAAGAGGTACAGCCCTTGGGATTGGAAGGATTCAGATAAAATGAACCTCGACGGCAAATACTACATTTTACACCTTCAACATTCTCCTATTAAAAAACAATGAAAAGAAGTTTACAAAAGTTTCTAAGTGTTTCTGGTGAGTATCCCAAAATAGCCTGCACATACAAAAAAGTTTCTGCAAGAACATTTATTTAAATAATTATAAAATACATTAAAATATAGATTTAAAATTGTTACTTATAGCCTTCTTCCATACATAGTATTCCAAATGCAGATGAAATGGCCCCCTTTGAAAAGGTAACTTCTACTCTAGTAACTTATTCCTAACTTTGCCTTTTATATGTACAACAGGTTTTCTTTTAATGTATGACCCAAATGAACACTACCAGTGCTGTTGGAGTACATATAAAACATATTTGACAATGAAAAACTATGGTAAATTGTGAGACGTCTTTTTCAATTTAATCTGCAAAAAGATGTAGTGGAATTACTATATGGCACGTTATTGAGTAATGAACATTAGTCAGGTCCAGCTCTCAATAAAGCCAGGTGATTTCCCTGCCAGAATCCTCATCTTGACTTTTCCAAACCTATACTTGAAAAGGATACTTGTGAAAGTTCACATTTATAGGGCTTAATTTATGCAAATCACAGCAACAGAAAACTCCATGGATCCATGTGATGAAATGTCAACCTACACCATGTGGCAAAAAATGCCTGAAGCCTGACTGAAATAAAATAAACAGATAAATTTGCAAAAAGCAGATTTATTTCAAGTACATATGGTTTCAGAGAAGATATGTACTGAAATAATGTCATATCTTAATCCATTGCCCCAGTGTTTGCTGTTCTGTGAAACTAATTAAGTGCATTTTTAAAAATTCTTTACATTCTATGCAAATGCTATGAGGCTTTTTGCCATAATTATATTTGATTCTTATGTAAGTTCTGTAAATGGCAAATTTCTGTTATTAAAAATATGAAACAGGCACTGATGTGGAAACTGAAGTTTACAAAGCTTCAAGTAACTTGATTTAACTGACCTTGCAAAGACAAACTCCCATCTGTGGATCACAAACATTTGGCTCTGTTCCATCTCTATTACAGTTACAGGGAACACAATCTGGAAAACCGTAAGAACCAGGAGCACATCGGTCACACTGTCGCCCTGTTATTCCTGCCCTGCATCTTTATTGACAAAATAAAACACAGGAATATTTATGTTTTAATGTGTAGGGAGAAGGTGTCACAGAGGTGGGGAAAAAAGTAAAGCATAAAGCAGCTGGATTTGAAGTGAGCCTCTGATCATTAAACAAATGCATCATCCTTCAGGAACAGCAGCTGCAGGCAAGTACCATATTTTCTCGCATATAGCCCGCACATTGATATAACCCGCACCAATGTATAATCCGTGGAAAACTGTATTTTCGGAAAATAGTCCATATATAGACCGCACCCAGGTATTCCCTGCACCTGACAGTGTCGGTACCGAGGGCAACTCGGTCCCAGCAACTCGTACAGTTGATCGACGCGGTAAAAAGACGATTGCAATATCAACAAAGGGCCATGAATGAACACATTTCACCATTGTGCTAGCGTGCACCGCAGGTGGTGTAAAGTTAAAACCTGTGGTTATTTTCAAATGGGTAACAATGCCCCGAGAAAAGATCCCAAATGGAGTTGCAGTTATTTGCAATAAGAAAGGGTGGATAAACAAGGATATAACGAAAGAATGGACAGAATGCTGTTTTTGAACACGGAAAAGCGGGTTTTTCGCGCCGAAATCTTTGCTATAGCACTTGTATCATCATTGTCCAGTATGTTGTATAACCTGAAAATACTATTCAAACAATTATTAATGGACTTATTAACTTCTGCTACAGTTGTTTTTGCATAAATGGCTCTGCATAGCCCGCACCCTTGTATAGCCTGCACCCATCCGTCATGTTTGTAAAAATTTATATAACCCGTGGACTATATGTGAGAAAATACGGTACTTTTCTCTAATTTGAGTTATCAGAAATGTCTGCCAGCAGACTTTGAAACATAACCAGAACACAAGACTATAAAGAACTTCCTTCTACCTTGTGGCTACTAATTCAGTCTCTGAAGTGGACCTGCACAGTGTGGTAAAGCACCTGGACTTACAGAAATGTGGATCCTGTGACTTACCTTTCCCCCCATCACTAAACTCCATGCTAACCACCACCTACCACAGTCTCCCTCTGCAACCCTAATGCATTATTTCAGGGAGCAAATGTTCTTTGTAAAGTAAACCCCCGATATCTTTATCTGAAGAGTCTATCTGGGCTGAAACCATTTTTAAAACCCCTTGGCAAGCAGCAATTAAATTCCTCTGGCTCTCAACATCCAACATTTTTCATATGTGCTTGGCTCAGAATTGAGAAATTTGAGTAAATGGAAATACACTGTTAAAAAGTATGGACACAAAATACTACATTTGATACAACATATAAGCATGATTAAGCATTTCATCATATAGTAGGTGAGCCTTGTCACAATCTCTAGGCATGTTACCCATATATCCAATAACAGGAAGTAAATTTACATAAAGAATTAGAACTTTGGACTTTGCTACAATCCACAGAACTGAACATTTCAACGAGAAGGAAACGGCTAACCAGGCTCTTCAGTGGTTCGTGTTCTGCAGAGAGATCTGACAAATCATTGGGTTTTGCCTCAAAATGAATTTGCCTACAAAATTTATTCTCATTAGCTTTTCACTACTTGGGCTCCAAGTAAAAAAAAAAAAAAATTCACAATCATGGCCAGATAACCCAGAAAAATGTGTTAATTCTTTTGCAAAATTATGAGTTACCCTGAATTTATTTGAAATAAAAGGAGTTTCACTAATAAAACCTGTTAGATACACAGTTTGGTAAGGATGTAGAGGACACAGCTTCCCATTTTGTCCCGAGGACAAGGGCAATGGTCAATCATGTTGGTATAAAAAGGGCTATAACTCCAGGTACAGAATTTTGGATTCAGAAAATGAAGTGATTCAGAAGATTCAGAAATGGTATATAGGGACCCACCCAAATCACTGTTTTGCAGATTTCACAGAAACTGCAAAATCTGGGGTTGCCTGCAAAATCCAGGGTTACCCATGAAATCCACAATAAAGCCCCACCAAAAACTAAACAACAACAAAAAAACCCTTAAAAATAATTTTTTATTAAGTCTTCCCCTCCTGGGCAGGCCCACCTGGAACAGGAAGGCTTTGACTGGCAAGTCAGCATAAAAAGGGCAGCAGACAAGCTGGCAGCTGCCCCACCTCCCCCCTGCCAATCAGTGCCGAGAGGTGGGGCCACTGGGAAATCCCTGCTCTTTGTGCTGGGACAAAGCCACAAAAATGGTTCTCTGTTGCCTTGAGTTAAGTAGGTCCCTAGTGATATATGTTGTTACATTGTGAAATAGAGGGCTCTGTTAAAAAACTCTGATATGGGTTGGAAGCTCAGACCCATTCTTGGGAGCGACATACAGAATTGACAAATCAAATTCAGCTGCCTTTGAACACCTGTATTCCACCAGAACTTATATCAGAGTTAGGAAAAACACCCTACTGCCTATTAAAGGAGCCATGCTTGCCTTTAGGAGCTCTTATCTTCCCAGGCAAATGAAAAGAACTGTGACAATGGTAGGACTGACAAGCATTAGCAGTTAAGAGAATTCTCTGCAGTTGTCTTTCATACAACCTAAATAAGAGGATAAATCTAAGGAGTGTACTCTCACGTCAGCAAACAGATATTAAGAATATATGGCCTAATTTCAAAGGTGCTTAGCCTCTTCACCTGCCACAGAGCAATATAAACTGCTTATATAACATCTTTCATCAGCATTACAAACATTACTTGGGCTTCACAGCACCCTGTGGGGTAAAAAATTAACAATTTAAGAACATGAAGGGAATGTATCCAGTGGTTAAAAGTAGATGTCTGGCAGTCAGAAATTCTGGTTTACAGTCCTGGATCTGCCACTAACTTGCTATGTAACATTGATTAGGTTTATATGTGCTCTTGAGACCAGTACTGAGAAGCACTCCCCTACAACCCTACTTCACACATGTAACACAGAAATGAGGCAGCAAAACTTCCCTCAGGGTGTCCCATGCTGTCACCACTTTCAAGCAGACAAAAGACAAAGGTCTGGAGAGCAGTGGTGGGTTGTGCCCTCAGGTTGAGTTCACTACCTCATTTCCAGGTATGGTGTATGTGAGCTAAAGTGAGTGTGCTGAGATGCTTGTGAGGAAGGAGTACAGACATGCCCTTTGAGATGCACAGGGGTTCAATGATTTACTCACAAGTCACACAGCAAGTCAGTAGTCAAGGGAAATAAAGCCCAGGAGTCCCACTCCCACCAACCAGCTACCAGAGCAAACCGAGTTTCTACTAAAAATTTACAGATTCCTTGAGAAACCCACATTCTAACCATTGGTTAACATGGGATAAAACTGTATATAGCCACATAAGAATATGTTTCCATCTTCTGCAAAAAAGAGAAGTGAACCAAAGCACTTGTAATAATTTGCCAGTGCATCAGTAATAAACAAGTTTCGTCCCACAGTGCAAACTTACTTGCACTGCCCACTGCTTTTATCACATTCTGGGTTTGCCACATTCACAACTCCTTTGCTTGAACAGTTGCAGCTTTCACAGCCAACAACAGGATGGTAGCTGAAGAACCGTTTCTCACACACTTCACACTTGGGCTTCACCGTTTGAGGGGGGCAAATACATTTACCAGTTATGTCATCACAAAGACGTCGACCGCAGTTGCATACTAGGGCAAGAGAAAATGTTTTACAAATTAATTGTATTTAATTTAAACAAATTACTCTTACTCAATGTATATATAAAACAAGACAAGTGTGTGGGGCCTCATTTTTCTCTATATTTTACCAGCATTATGTTTTTGTCACTTAGCTGGCTCCAACAGTTACAAAGGTTTACGTCAGAGGAATTTCAGGCTAGTAACAGTAACTGCAATTTCAAATAGTAACCTGGAACCTCTGCACTTTTCCTTAAAATGATTCCTCAAGTTCAACACATCCAGTATTGTTTTACATTTCCTGGCACTGTCTGCTAAACACTGACCAAACAATAGTTTTGGTGGACTTGATACCATGTTTTCAATACAATTAACATATAATATAATATTCAGGAGAGACAGACTGTCAAGGCTGTGTACTGTAACTAATGAATCTGTCAATGCTATTAATTTAATGCCACATGTGCTTATTTATGGAAAAGCTGGGATAAGCTGGGACACAACAGCTGGTAATAAGCTTTAGAAAGTTTATTTAATATTGAGTATAGAATAAACCATTCATCTCTGGAGGAGTGACTTTACGGACTGTAATAGCAAGTTTATGAACATGCTGGCCCCAATCCAGGAAAGCACTTAAAAGCCTACTTCATGTTAAGGACATGAGTTTAAAGTGAACAGGCTTACTCCTCTGATGATGCGAAGCAGCTGCTCTGCTCAACCAGCGTTAGATCAATTAGCACCTTGTACAATCAAACTCTAATGTGCAAAATGAAGCTGCAGGATGTAATATATAAGACCACAATATACTCATAGAATATACTTACATTTGCAGAATGGAAATCCATAGTAGCCAGTTTGGCATCTACTACACTGACGACCAATTATATTAGATTTGCAATCACACTGTCCTCCCCAAGGGTTGCAAGTTGGGCTAATGGAACCTGCTCTGTGGCAATTACAAGGCAATGCTCCATTGCTGTAGAAAGCTACCAGCGATCTCATAGAATCCTTACAAAATGATGGTGAAGTTACTGGGCTATTGAAAGAAAAGTATAAATCATGTAAAGAGAAGTTACTTGCCAGGATCTAGAGATGTGTTGTCTATTTGTGCATCATCACTGTGGGTGCGCACATACTTCAAGCACTGGCAAGACTTTTCACCTTAACAATGTGTGCAGGATATACTGTAGCCCCAGCCCTCTTTTATGCAATTAAGAGAGGACATCATAGCAGTTTACAAATGTCTGAAGAGCTGCCACAAAGGGGAACGCTTTTTCTTCCTCACAGCAAAAAGCAGCGCCCACCTACCTGAAAGTGGGTCTCAGAAACCTCTAGTTAAACAGTAACTGAAGGACCGACTTATCAAACATAACATCTACTTAGGAGGCTTCCACAATCGCACAGTGCTTTGTAAAGTTCAGCACCAAATTGGCTAGTTGGCTGAGGTGCAATTTAGTAACCAACTTCTTTGACAACTGATGCCTTGTCATGATGCCTTGATGTTATTGATGCCTTGTCATGGTAAAGGATAGTACCAGAAGACTTGCCAAGAGGGCTTGGATCTCACCTATCCTTCTTGCAGAGTAAATTCCTACAAGAAAAGCTATTTTTATAGAATGGTAAAGCAAAGAGCTTGGATTTAAATGGCAGCTGCATTAGATATATTGGGCATTTATGTACATACTTTTTTTCCCGCGATGCACCAGAGAGATCTGCCACTTCAGAGAGGACTCTATTAATCAAGCCTGCTCCACATGTGAGCTAAGGTGAACTGCTCTGTGCCGCGTGCAGTTGTATAAGTGGCGAAATGCATGTCAGCATGCATAAAATGGCAGTAATGTGCTTTTGAACTAAAGCTTTTCCGAGCTGTTTTAGTTCAAACGTGGGCCGCTGCCATTTTGTCAGTGCTGATGTGCATTTCACTGCTTATACAACTGCAAGCATCACAGAGCCAGCACTTGCATGTGTAAAAATGCCCTTAATGAACAAGTTTAGATCTTACTGGGCACATCTACATGAGATGCTGTCTGCGCAGTAGCCTGACACTACTGCGCAGTAGTGCTGCATGGCAAAAACCATGCCGAGACACTACTGTGCAGTAGTGTTACTTAAAAGGCATTTGCCAGCACTACTGTGCTGTAACTTTGGTTACTGTGCATTTGTTTAGTACTTGTATTATTTGTACAGGTACTAAATAAATAAGCAGCAACCACTGTGCAGTAGCCTCTCGTGTAGACGCACCCACTGTGAAATAGGGAGAAACCTGGTCAGGTCCTTGATTAATCTCAAGATGTTTACGTGAAAAAAAATATGCGCTGCCTATGAACCAGGTGGACCAAGACAGTCTCGAGGTGAACTCTGACAGACTTATGGAAAAGTCTGCAGGCTTTAGCTTTAGGAAGTGTTCTAACATAACTAGAAGACTAGCCAAGGCTAAGGTTTTCTGTCTGAGCTGAAAAATGTGGTCCACTTAGCTAGGTAAGCACATCATGTGGAGTCCTTCCTGCTACGTGAAGTATTCTCCCTCTGACCTGGGAAATGAGGTCTGAGACCAGGGACAGAACCTTGCAGCTCTTCACTGACATCAGCCAAATGTCTTAGTACTAAAACTGCCTCAGCCACTCAGGGACTAAGATGATTCTCTGGACTGAGCTCCGTCTCCTTTCGCAGCATGCTTGTAGGATCAAAGGTTTGGGCAGGAAGGTTTACAGGAGGAAAAGATTGAGCATCAAAATGGCAGTACCAGTAAGAGAGTCAAAATTAAAGTGTGTGACAGGAGGATCTGAAAGGAGACAAACCATACCAAAGAGAAAGGAGGCTAACAAAACAATATTCTCTCTTTCCTTCTGCTTAAAGAGAAAAAATAATGAATAATTACATCCCTAATGAAGCAATACTTTGAAGGGAAGACCTCTAGTAGATATGCAAGCTGCAAAAAATGGCTGAAGAGTTTTCCAGATCTAACCAAGACTGTTGAAAAGAACTACAGAGTACAAAGTTTAAGCTACCCTTTAATCCCACAGCAGAAGGCACAAGGGGTGGGTCTACAGTGCATTTGACATTGCAATGGAAAAACTTATTTTAACCAGTGCTTGAAACACATGCATATCCATAGTGAGGACTTTCACACAGATAATCACACAAAGAATAATACCTGACTATTTTCTGTAGTGGCTTAATTAAAAGTTCTCTCTCTAAAATATGTCTCTGGAACAACAGCAACATAGAAATATACATGCATGAAAATACTTAAACTAACAGTATTAGTGAACTGGTCTACAAACCCAGTTAATTCAATACTTTTTTTCCAAAGAAGTACATGTATACAAAGAAAGTACCTGGTGACTGACATTTTAGAAATACAAAAGATAGACAGCAGCAATTTTCTGTTTCTGTACACTAAACAATAACATTCTCCCTTTAGACTTGATTTACAGTGTGAAGACATGGAGAGCTATAGGGCAATATTTTAATTCCCCATAGAGATTTAATGGTCCAGCATCAGTCATGTAATACATGCCCACATAGCACAATGACACAATTTTTAAGAGTTGCATTATGAAATAGCAATAATAACTCGTCACACTGTAAAATGTTCATCGTTTCAGAAAGTGATGCTTACTCAATATAAAAACTGTTTCCTCCACATTGGTTGATAAAATCAAATGACTTGTCCACAGTTCTTATTTGAAGAATGTTAGGGCTGTAGCTATCTGCCGGAATGACTAAAACATGTTCCTTAAAACAGCAAGAAAATTCGATTTAATCTTTCATATAAAAACAGAAGCAATAAACTAATATATTTATATATTAAAGTGTACTTCCATTCTCTACCCGGATTGCCTATAAAACACTAAGGCACAAATCTAGCTCCCCTTTAGGTGGGTAAATAGCACTTAGAGGGCTAACATTTACAAAGAGTTAGGGTGTTGTTACATATTATCTTTCACACTTGTTAAGGGCTCTTAAATTAGGAGTGTTCATGCATTAGGTCTGGAAAACACAGACTAAGTGCCCTCTGAGCCTGTCACAGAGAGCTCTCTTCCAGAGAGGATTATCTCTAATTTTGGGCAGTTCTTGCTGCAGACGTGTTAGATTGCTCCGCGGGGCCCGGACAAGTTGGGAGCAGTCCTCCACTATCTCAGGAGGTCCCACTCCCAGCCTTCCCTACATGAACACTATCCTACCACAGAATGACAGCAGAAATGGCAGCTGGGGGAGCCCTAGAAGTAAGGATTCTTCTTCCCTTTCCCTCCACCCTGGGGCTTCCCCATCCCCTGCCCCTCCAGTCCCTTGGAGGTCACCCCCCGCCCACTACCACCCCCAGTCCCTCAGGGTTCACTCCCTGCCCTGCTAGTGTTGTCCTGGGGGAGCAGACAGAGAAGGGGAACCCATCTGCTTGCTGCCACCACTACTGCTCTCCAGGTTGGAGAGCAGTGGTGGTGGCAGCAGTGGTAGATGGATTTCCCTTTTCTGTTTGCTTTCCTGGGACAATACCAGCAGCCACAGGTAAGTGGAGAGTTGCAAGGAAGCTGGGGAGAATGGAGGGCAGGAAGCAGGTGTTCAGGGACTAGAGCCTGGCCCTGGGATGGAGGAAGGGGTCACGGCCTGATCTGGGCTGGTGGGGACACAATCCAGGCAGACAGGGGCTGGTAGTTCTGACCAGAGCTGCCAGAGACCCAATCTGGACCAGCAAGGACCCAACCTTGGCAGGCAGGGGCTGGCAGGCCCAATCCAGGCTGTGGGACCATTCCTGGAATATACAGTACCCTGGAGAGCAGGTGAGCAAGACAAGAATGGAGTTAACTCCTAACCACACCTCACCAGTCCTCTAGGAACAGGACAGAGCAGTGCATGCTAGAGAGGATATTGAACCTTAATGTGTGACTGCTCACAGCATGTGCTAACTTTAACACAGCCTAATATTCCTTAGAGTAATTGTAATGTCTAACTACAATCTTATGTGCCTTCCTAGATGGAATAGGACTACAATAGGGCATAAACAGCTGGAGTGGTTCCTTTCTGAGTATACTCCAAAGGACAAGGAGTTAAGCTGGTTTGAGTGGATCCCTTCTGACTATGTTCTGAGGGACAAGGCAAGTTGCACAGGGGAAGTAGGATCTAAAATATGAGTCTGGCCCTGAATACCTGTGCATTGCTGAAGTTAGCTGCATAAGTGCTCTTTATCTGTCTACTGACAGAAAGTGGATTTGGGTCAAATTTGGACCAAAATATGGGAAAATACCTATTACCCAATATCACAAGTTCTTATTTTTGGTTCTCTCTCTCTCTCTCTCTAAATGAATAGCAAACATAAAAAGAATACTACCACACCCATAAATTTAACAAACATACCAAAACCAATGTTTTGCCATTGGGAATCTTCAAAGTAACAGAGATGTCAGGTCCAGGAATGTCAAGTTCTATTTGGTTTTCTGCAATCACCTGGTCTCGACAGCCAAACACATGAGGGCAGAACAAAGCATTGGCAAAACCTAAAAGAAATGTTAAGGTCTAGTGTGCTAAACTGCTGAAAAGGGAAAAAAAGTTAAACTAATACACAGGGCTACTCACCTGACCAGGGACGTCCCCCATCCACAAGTACCTCCACAGGAAATGTTGGATGGTCTGGCTGATAAAAATGTATAACAAATACATATCTGCCCACATGTGGCACTCTCCCACTCAAGGTAATCTGGTTCTGGAGAAACAAAACCAGCTACGTTTATGCATTTGTTTTGTGAATGAATTGTCATTATGCTCTGGGCCAGTTGCAATGAAAGCTGACAGAGCACAGAACCTCTAAGGAGGAGAAGGGCCTCCTCCAGGATCAGTCCCCATGTTAAATCCTCAGAGCGATTATATTCCTTTTTTTCATTTTCACAATCTATGAAACTATTACATTATGTTTAGAATTAAGCTTGGTTCCAATTTTTTTGTTTCTGCTCTGCACTTTTTCCACTGGGGATAACATATCTCCATATTTTGGCTGTAAAATATCATTTAAGTTTAGGTTTCATGTTGTGCTCAGTCTGCTTAACTACCCACAATACACTCTGTTCCCTAGAAACAATAACATTCAAAATATGAACTACCTGTACCGATGTCAAGGTTACTCCTTTAACTGTGTTAGCAGAAGGTAAAGGAGCACTCAATGGATCGTATAGTACATTTCTCTGCACTTCTGAAATTTTCCCATTCCTGAGTACGTCCAAAAGCAAGGCCATTAACGGAGTTCCATACACTGAGGGAATGCATGAAGCACTAAAAATAGAATTATATTAATTATTTGTGGGGCAGGGAAAATTTCTTAAGTAAAATAAATAGAAATCAGGCATGGTGGTAGAAGTTAATACATTAGAACATGTACACTTAATAATAAAATATAACTAATGTTACTCTTTGGGATTCTACATGATTGATATTAAGCAAAAACAAGATTATTTTCAGTGAATTAAACCAATGTAAATATAATAGTTGTATTTACTCAAAACTATCATATGATAAGTAGCTTAACTGTTAAGGATTTGTGAAACAAATGCAAATATAACCAGTGGTGTCAGAACAATATAAAGTAAATTTTAGTGATCTAAGCAAGTCACAAAGAAAAGAATCTAAATTAATATTGAAAGTCCTGATCCTACAAATTCTTGCAGACGTGCATGACTGTAAATGTAGAAATATTCCCCATAAAAATGGGACTGATCATTAGGGCTGTGCAAAGCTTCAGGTACTGATTTGATCTGAAGGAGATTCAGCCCGATTCAGTGGCCGAATCTCCAAATCTGAATTGAATCAGGGGACCAATTAAAAGGTCTGAATCAATTCAGAAAAGATTCGGAGAGCTTTGGCGATTTGGGCAGTCCCTGCTGGCTGCAGCAGGGAGCTGGACCCAGACTCCATGCTGGTAAGTAGGGGGTGGGGTCCTGACCCCTGCCCACTGTCCCAGCCCCCCACCCCCCCATAGCTGCCTTGCCCAGCCCCAGTTCCCGGTTGTTTAAAAAAAAAAGCCCCTACTCACCGGCTGCTGCCAGGCAGAGGGGGGCATCCCCACTGCCACCCACTGCCCCATGCTGCATGACAGAGCCCCCCCCACCTAGCAGCAGTGAGGATCACCCCCCAACCTAGCAGTGAGGATCACCCCCCCACCTAGCAGCAGCTGATAAATAGGGGCTTTTTTTTTTTCAAAGAGCTGGGAGCTGGGGCTGGGCGGGGCTGGGAGAGCGGGAGTGGGGTGAGGCCTGTGCGATTCGGAGATGCGGCTGATTCAGCAGCAGCCAAATCTCCAAATCAGATTCAGCCTAATCAATTTGGGACAGTGATTCAAATCGCCAACTCAAATCACTGTCCCCCGAATCGGCTGAATCTGAAGCAAATACTAGCTGCTTCACACAGGTGAAATCATGGATTTAAAAGCCAAGTACAAATTCTGCTTAACTGTTTGTTGAAACAAAGCTAAAGTATATGAACAACACATCTCCACAGTGGGAACAATATATTAAATATCCATTTTCTAAGTAAATTTATTTTTGACCCAAAAATTGTATTTAGGGCTGCAAGTGAAAATTAACTGGATTTCAATAGAGTATTTATTCACTTCTTGTGACAGTCATCAATCACTGCTCAAGAACAACCCAGAACTAGAATGGCTGGTAGGTTCCAGGCCCAGAACTGAGTGAGGTGCCTTTGCCAGGCCTGTGCAGGAAATCTTGCAAAACATCTGCTTACAATATGAATAAACTGTGCCAATCTTTCCATTTTGTAAACAATAAACCCAATCACAAAATTAAAAATGAAGTCAGCTAATAATGTTTTTTTTAAAAGAACAATACCATTCAAGTAAATGATTTATGTTGAAACAGCAATAAGGATGAAAATTATAAAAAGCAATGTATATTCACAAAACCACAAATAAAAGGTACATACACATAATTTCACCTGTCTTATTTTATGACATATTTTAAGCTGGCCAGCTGCACTTCTCATTGGGCAAACAGCACTGGGAAAGCCTCTACCATAAGATGAGCAGGGGCCTCCAGCAGAAGCCAGAAACCCCTCCCTTCCAGGGCAGCAGCCATCTTATCAAGCCACACGCCCTCCTAACCCTACATATCTTCTTCTTGGCTGCCCAATGACCCATCTTCAAGAGGAGGGCTGGAGAAGGAGTCTTGGAAATGCTTGGCCCATGGCCTTGTGGTTGGAACACTCTGCTGGGAAGCAGGAAATGTATATTCAAACCTCATCTGGGTGACATGGGTCTAGGCAGGTCTTCCCCTCCTCCTTCCCTTCCTCCTGGCCAAGTGCCCTAACCCAAGGAGTGCCCTACTGAGCTAAAAAGTGGGAAGTGCTGCCAACATTTCATTTCCCACAGGTATGTGTACAAGCTGATTCTATTTCACTGCAGGGCAAAAAAAAATCCTAAACCATGTATAAGTGCCAGCAATTGTAGTTAGGCAGCTAGAGTTAGTACCAGGTGTAATAATCTAATCCCTCCAGGATGAACAGGATTGGAAATAAATGCTGTGCACTGTGTGGAAACCAAAAAAAAAGGTCACATGTTAGACTTTTTAAAAGGTCTCAAGTGCCAAGTATCTTAATATTATTCCTGTATTTGAAAATTATTGGATTTAGTCACCAATTCCTTTCTACCATCCAAAAAATTGATTATAGCTTTTCTCACTTTAATACCCTATTACATTGCTAAAATATCACGGAATACCTTAGAACTAGATTCACAAAGCTGACTTAGGCATCGTAGCTTTACTGTATATCAGTATACACACAGATGTATACACACATAGCCAGGTTTTCCTTAAAGCTATAACATAAATCAGTGCAGACAGCCCAGGAACCTACCAGTGAAGGTATTAACTAAATCCTGAATAAAGACTGCATAGATTAACACAAAGACTTTATCTCTTTTCAAACATTACCCTGAAATATCTTGTCTCAGGATCAGCTGCGAGTCACAGAACAAACTTTCAGTCATAAAGGCAATAAAATATTACTCTACACACGTCTCTCTCTTTCAAGGTCTTCAGGAAGAATGAAGGAAAGAGGAAGGCAAATTACCTTTGATTAAGAAAACTTTGATAAGTAGCTATGCAGAGTACTTCAGGATCCACATATTCTAGAGAAAATTCTTCAGCTGGTATAATACAGATTTTGTGCTGAAAAGCAAACAAATAGGTATGAGTCAGTTAATACTCTTATCCTTTTAGACAGCTGCTTATAAATTGTAATGTTGTCTCCTTGTGCATATGCAATATGACGAAAACTGGGGAAAAATGTTTGGACCTGTGGTTAGGGCTTTTTAGCAGGAATTTGATTTCTCTGTACCTGACTTCTCGAACTATAAAGTTAAGACGATATTGCTTCCCCATATACCCTGGTAGGGTTGTGAAGACACATGTAGTAATGAAATCAAAAAGTACCCAGGACAAAACTCTTCGATTATGTGGCCAATGAGCACACAGGACAGGTTGAGAGAAAAGGATATAATGCCCTCACTTGCAGTCATATGTCCTTTTGGACACTAGGCTAGGGATAAATATTACACATAAACCAGTATAAGTGATCAGAAACCAGTTCAAACCTGTAACACAACAAAAGTTCGGTGCACATAAAACACTTTCAAAATGACTGAAACTGGTTTAAGATAAATCTGGGTGGGTGTAGTATCAGATTTAACTGATTTAGGTTAAATCGGTTTATTGAACTTCTGTCGCAGATCCCCTCCAGATTCAAGTTACCTCATAGACCCTCAGCATCCCAAGACGCTTTGCACCTCCCCCACAAACCCTCCCCTTGCAGGGTAGGCAGGCTAACCTTGGCCCAAGGTGTCTGCTCCAGCTGAGCAGGGAGGCATGCTCTAGTGCCCACTAGCTTCTTGCCTGAGCCACTGCAGGCATGTGGCTGCATTTCCAGAATCAAAAGTGAATGTCTATTCACTTGCTTATCAGTTCAATCTATGCAGCTTAGACTAACCTGCAAAGATTGAATCGATTTAACCTCAGGCTTTTTGGCTGTCTGTACTTAGCCTAGATATACTTTTCAAGTTCTACTAAAGTGGGAGAAGGTGTTAGCATGCAGTCCATGAATAAGCTGTATTTCAATAGCGCTAAAGTATCACTTTGTATTAAGAGCTCATCTCTAGGCAAAACTAGAGCAACCTGACTTAATTTTTTCATTAAAAAACTAATAAAAATATGTAAAGGATGTGTTTGTACATGAATTACCTAAAAAGGAAGACCAAAATACCCTGATGTGTAGTAAAGTAACTGCTTTGAATAATGAAAAACAACTTTATAGGTGGATGACACCTTTGCTTAATGTGGTGAGAAATAAAGCTTAAAAGAAAATATTAGGACAGTGTTTTAGGACTTACTAATGGGGTATGTGAGGCCTTCTAAGTAGCTACAAGGCAGAGAAATAAAATCCTTGTTCACAAGCAAAGAGTCAGCTGCAGATGTCTACCTTGGTTGGTAAAGATGGAAGGAAACACAGCTAGTGGTAGAACAGGGCTAGGCTCAGCTGCTTTGAACTACACCTTTAGGAGGAGCTAGTAAAAAAATGAACCGTAGACATTAGTCACTGTCTGGATTTGGACACCTCATTCATATCACTATGGGAGGAACAAAAACAGAGTATAAGAAACTCTCTTTGAACTCTGATCACATAAAGACTGTTTGCATTTACTATTTGGACCAACCTCTGAACTAAAAAAAATAGGAGTGGCTTCTCCAGTATCTCTCTTCCCTGTAACCTGACTTGTCAGGCTCTTCAACTCACAAACTCCAGAACATTAACTGCATAGCAAAGGCAGCCCATCCTTCCACTTGATTAGCTACTAATGAACTTTCTTCTTACAAATGTGTATTTCTTATGTGTATTTGGAAATCACATTTCCTGAATTTAAAGAGAATATTCAGAAATATGGGGCAAGGTCTATATTTTTTGTTCTCAGAGGAGTTTGCATTCTAAATCAGTACAACAGAAGTTCATGTTAGTCCATATCTTTTGCCTATTGATCTTGATAACATGGGAATCACTAGTGAGAGAGAACAGACATTCCAGACAGTCTTAATTAATTAATTCTGAACAATGCCCTCCAACAAGAGTAAACAAAGAATGTGTTATCCTGTGCTGTATACAATAATTTGTGGCTAGATTCTGTTCTTATTCATACTACTTTCTTGGAACTTCTTGTGATTACACTCTGGATTTTAATGAGCTGTATAGGACTGGAAAAGGGCCAACGTGGTCCCCATTTTCAAAAAGGGGAGGAAGGAGGACCCGGGCAACTATAGGCCAGTCAGTCTCATCTCCATCCTTGGCAAAGTCTTTGAAAAAATTATCAAGGCTCACATTTGTGAGAGCCCGGCAGGACAAATTATGATGAGGGGAAACCAGCACGGGTTCGTAGCAGGCAGATCGTGCCTGACCAATCTAGTTTCTTTTTATGACCAGGTTACGAAATGCCTGGACACAGGAGGAGGGGTGGATGTCGTATACTTAGACTTCAGCAAGGCCTTCGATACGGTATCCCACCCTGTACTGGTGAATAAGTTAAGAGGCTGTGACTTGGATGACTACACAGTCCGGTGGGTGGCGAATTAGCTGGAGGGTCGCACCCAGAGAGTTGTGGTGGATGGGTCGGTTTCAACCTGGAAGGGTGTGGGAAGTGGGGTCCCACAGGGTTCGGTCTTTGGACCGATACTCTTTAATGTCTTCATCAGTGACTTGGACGAGGGAGTGAAATGTACTCTGTCCAAGTTTGCAGATGACACAAAGCTATGGGGAGATGTGGACACACCGGAGGGAAGGGAACAGCTGCAAGCAGATCTGGACAGGTTGGACAAGTGGGCAGAAAACAACAGAATGAAGTTCAACAAGGAGAAATGCAAAGTGCTGCACCTAGGGAGGAAAAATGTCCAGCACACCTACAGCCTAGGGAATAACCTGCTGGGTGGCACAGAAGTGGAAAGGGATCTTGGAGTCCTAGTGGACTCCAAGATGAACATGAGTCGGCAGTGTGACGAAGCCATCAAAAAAGCCAATGGCACTTTATCATGCATCAGCAGATGCATGATGAATAGGTCCAAGGAGGTAATAATTCCCCTCTATCGGGCGCTGGTCAGACCGCAGTTGGAGTACTGCGTGCAATTCTGGGCGCCGCACTTCAAGAGGGATGTGGATAACCTGGAGAGGGT